TTCGACATGGTTGGTGCAAGAAGCACTGCCAAAAAGTCATACCCCGTTCCAGAAGTCAAGCGGGGAGTCTCTTGCACGCGCGCGTGGCTAGCGCTTCGCCCGTGTCGAATCCATGTTGGAAAGCCTGCTGGATTGAGGCCATATGTGCTCTGCCGGACAATAAAGTCCATCACGGGGGCAGTGTAGAAGTTGAAGGGTAAAATGCCGCGGCTGGCTGTTCCAATTAACCACGAATCAATGTGAAACTTTGTCCAGCATCAACACACACGCCACGCCCGCGCCGGAGCACCGCGCGCCCTTGCGCGCCGTCCTAGACCGCGCCGCTCCAGAACTGCCTGTATCGGATCGAAGCGTCGTGAGAGTAGGGAAGGATCATATAGCTCCGCGCACATTTGTCATAATCCAAACCCTCGAGCGCCCTGCGGCTGGCGGCTGATGGCTCTGATCGAGACCAGCGAGCTGGCATTGAGCGGCCAACGGGTGTCGACCGACAGAGCTGCGAGTGTGAGTCTGTGATTGCTCACTTTTGCGTGTCTGACTTCGGGGCTGCACGGACTTATCATCCTCGCCTCCCCAAACGGGAGAGCCCAAGCTGCGTCTCGGTAGATGACAGACCCGCAACCTCGAGACTGCAGACTGACTACGAAGGATCGAAACGCACGCTTTCGCAATACGTTTCTTGATCAGCAGGTAAAAGGCATTTCGCCATGCCCCAAACCGTGGACGTCAAGCGTCATTTTGAATGTGTGGTTTAGATCCAAGCCGAAAGTTATTCACCCTTCCCACGCGCAGACAGACACAACGGCAATCGCAGTGGCCCCCTCTTGAGTGGCTCAAATCATGAAAATGCACCGCGTAGTGTGTGTTTGTTCGTAGATCAAATGTCCAATCTGCGGTACGAAGACACCTCTCTTGCATACTCTCATCGCTCGTCCTCGCACGTCTTCTCGCTCCGTCATCATGGTTCAAGGTATCACAGGAAGTACTGCACAGGTCGACGTTGGTGGCGCGATCAGCATGTGGGCATACGCTTGAGAAGTTTGCAACAGAAACAAACTCACATCTGGCACTCTTCGTGAGACCAAGGGCTCTCCAGCGCGCGGTGCAGGGTCGAATTGCAAGCTGAAGGTGGACAGGGCAGGCTAGTCAGCAGCTTGACAGACGAAGCGGCATGAGCCCGCAACTCGTCCACACTCACAAAGTGTACTTGAGATTCTCATCGATTTCCATGATCGCGGCTTGATTGCCGCATCTGTAGCAGTAGTTGGGAGCCGAAAAGATGGTGACCACATTCCTCTCTTGTGACCAGTTGAAGCCGTCCATCACAAGCTGCACGTGGATTATCAAGCGGCGTGGATCGTCAGCTTTTGAAGCTTCGCCACGCGATCACTGCACAGTCGCACTCACCTGGTGGGCACGCGCAACGAGCGTGAGGCCATTGTTGTGGTTGAAAGCTTCGCTGATGTCTTGGCCGAAGGTGTAGCCGGCACCTCTGGGGCTAATGCCCCAACCGCATCGATCATCGGGGTCGGACCACAGCAAGTCGCACATTGGACCCTCGTGCGGGACTTCTTGGATGCGGTCAATGGATCTGATGTGGTCCAGAGTGTCGATGGAAGGAGAAAGACCGCCGTGCAAGCAGAAGATCTACACAAGAGGGCCCGCGCTTAGCTGTCAGCTAGCTGCTCGCGTGGGCATGCGCCTATGTGTCGGCTTGCACTCACCTGATCATCGATGAGAGCAGTCAAGGGCAGGTAATCGAAGAGATCGGTGAAGTATTTCCAGACATTCGCATTGCCGTACTTGCGCAAGCACTCGTCGTAGAAACCATAGACCTGGGTGATCTGCCTACTCTCGTGATTTCCTCTCAAAATAGTCACGCGATCGCGATACCTGACCTTCAGCGCCACGAGTAGAGTGACAGTCTCCACGGAATAGTATCCTCTGTCGACGTAATCCCCCATGAACAGGTAGTTGGTGTCTGGCGAATTGCCTCCGATTCGGAAGAGTTCCGACAAGTCATGCTGCGTGCGGCCGAGGAGCACGCCACCTCGTCAGAAGCAGTCATCTGCCTACGCTTCTCCTCTCTGTGCGCTTAC